TGGGTGCAGAAGCCCTACTTCCCCCAAAGGTGCCTAGCTCAGTGCTGTGCCCCAGTGAAGTGATTAAATAGCCCTTGGAGAAACAGAAGGGGCACCAAGTTGCGAGTCAAGAGATCTGAGTTTAGGTCTTGCTCCAGGTAGCTGTATGCTTTGGACAGCTCTGGGCCTCATGCTGCTCATCTGGCCCGTGAAGGGATTTTCAAACTTCTTTAGTCGTGGAACCTTTTCTTCAAATGAAATCTCAAGTGAAACTCCAATAAATACAGCCGATAAAATTGGGTGTGTGGTGCCTGGCCATTCCCACAGCCTCCCCCCCACCTGCCCCGCCTCTTAGGACCTCCCTAGGCTCCCGGGAACCAGGTCTGATGTTCTCCTGACATGGATACGTCTTGACTAATTGTCTGCTTCACTGATTTACTTGAGGATATTAGGCCAGGCTGCTCCTGGGAGCTGAGAGGAGGTCTCCCCCACTCCTTGTGGCCGGCCCTGCACTTCCAGGTCTGGGAAGGCAGACAGGATGGTGGGGGTGACTCCTCTCAGGAGGCCAATCATTAACAGGCTTTATCTTTGTGGACCGTCCTGGGGGGCCTGGGTCATGGGCCAAGCTTCCGGCCCAGGCCCAGGGGGTCCCTGGGGGAGGAGGGAAGGGACACTTCTTGCTAAGAGGCAGGGACACTTTGGGTACCTGCCTCTTTTTTTCCCCCCTAGGATTTTCCTGAAGGAACCCATAGTGTAGCCAACTCAGTGACAGCCTGGTGACGCAGTCACTCTGAAGAAAGGCTAAAGAAGGAACCAAGCCAACATATCCCCCATCTCTGGCAAGCACTGTGTGATTTCTTCTTCCTTCCTTCCTTCCTTCCTTCCTTCCTTCCTTCCTTCCTTCCTTCCTGCCTTCCTGCCTTCCTGCCTTCCTGCCTTCCTGCCTTCCTGCCTTCCTGCCTTCCTTCCTCTCTGTCTCCTTCTTTTCTTCCTTTTGTTTTTATTTTTATTTTTTTTTATCAGAGAGAGAGAGTGAGCACAAGCAGGGGGAGTGGCAGGCAGAGGGAGATGCGGGATTCGATTCCAGAACCTTAGAATCATGACCTAAGCTGAAGGAAGACGCTTAACCCTTAACCTGCTGAGCCACCCAGGCATCCCTTGTTTTTGTTTTACAGGGGGATGGGATAAACCCATTTCCCTAATCCTTTCTGTTTAACTTTAGCCGGATGCTAGCAGGTTTCTCTTCTCTGAGAGTTTGCTCACTCCTGGGGTAGGGACAGAGAAAGGGAAGGGAAGTAACATGCATATGATACTTACTCTAGACCAGAGCTTCACCTGTATTCATAGCCTCCATTTATCTTCTTACAACCACAACTCCCATTTTACAGATGAGGAAATCAAGGATCAGGCAGATGATGTGACTTGTCCAAAGTCTCCTGGGTTGGAAGTGGTGAACCAAGATGGAATCCAGCCTGTCTGGCTTTTTCCATCACACCATAGGGGTACAGGGATGGGGCAGGGTAGCTGGTGAGGGCTTTTCACAATGAGAATTCACGAAGCCAGTGTCTTTTTAAAAAGGACAGACATTCTGGTCTCCTAGGTAAGAGAGGAAGCTGTTCTGACCTGCTGGGATTTGAGGGGTTCCCTGGAACCACACCCCCCCTCCACCACTTGGTACTGTGTCCCAGATTTCATGCATCTTTGAGTTAAGCATTGTCCTCTCCAGAAGCCTTTTGAAATACACAGACCCCTGGAAGATGTGACATTTTATATCAGTGATCTCAGTTGGATGTTTGATGGAGTGTTACAGATCCTTAAAGCTTAGGGGGTGTAACCTCCCGCTCTTATCTAGGAGGATTCTGAGGTCCAGAAAGGGGATGGACTTGGCCAAGGTCACATGGCATGCAGCAGACTTGACTACCCCCACCCCCCGCCCCCACCTCCCAGTGCTGTTTCCAGGTTTCCACCTGTCTGTGACAGGCAGATGGGAGACCAGACCTCTGGGCACCTGTTGGGGGCTAGAAAACCTCTTTCTGCTTTGTGCCCTGCCGAAGCTGAGTGGCCCTGTGCTTGTCACAGGCTGGTGTCCTCTGCCCTCTGCTTCTTGCTCCCGGGCGAACAATAGTAGTGCTCACCATGCAAGCTGGACCTACCTCTAGTGTCTGCTTGTTTGTTTAAATTCTCTGGCAGAGACATGCTGTCCCAGAGGGCGGGGAAACCCGTGTGGGGCTCACCCCCTGAGGGACAGCATTGTCCCTGTGGGCTTTGGCTGGGAATGTTTCTGAAGAAGCCCTAATCCCCTGCCCTACCTAGCCTCAGAGTCTCTATCACCCCCAGAGAAGCACTGGGAGAACTGTGTGAGCCATCAGAATCCTCCAGACCTCACTTCCCCTGCCTGTTCTTTATCCTTGTCCGCGCTGCAGGCAAAATGCCGCTCTTCCCTCTATCCTCAAGCACCACCTCCTCCAGGAAGCCTTCCTCTACCCCCAGAAATCATGTGGCCCCTTCAGAGTTCCTATTTTCAGTTTACTGTTTGGTTCCTCTGGACAGAAAGCCCCTTCCATGCTGTTGCAGCCCCCGGGCTGAGCCAACACAGGGCTTATGGGCTGAGTTTAATATTTGCTTATGGAATAAACGTCCCGTGCTACCTCCTGCAGAAAACCCTTCTTGAGGCTCATCCCAGCCAGTTTGACTGCTCTGGCACCTTGGACCTCTTTTAGGGCCACCTTCCCACCTCACCTTCCGGTGGAGCCGTATGCATACCCGTCCATGGGCAGCTATGTTCCAAAGCAGGCATTTTCACTCGTGTCTTACAGATGAGGGGAACTGGGGGGTCAGAGAGGTTGAGTAACTTGCCCAAGGTCACTCAGCTAAAGAGTGGCAGACAGGAGTGTCACTTGTGTCCATTTGGATCTAAAGCCCCCGTACTCTCCACTGCCCTATATCTCATATAGCATCAGCACTGTGCCTGATGCCTGGTAGACCTCGGGAAAGATCCACGGCTGGAACGAGGCTCAGTTCCCAGGCAAGGCCCAGGTCTGAAGGGGGAATACAGCTTTAGGACCTTAGCTGTCACCTCGTGCTACCCCTCTTCCCAGGAGAGGGACTCCCTCCAAGACTGGGTGGGGGTGTGTGAGCAGGGGCAGCAATGGGTAGGACGGGGGGTCAGACTTTGAGGGGTAGCACAGACTGGGGGGGTCAAGAAGTGAGCATGTCAGGGAGAAGCAATCCAGGGAGAGAGCCTGGCATTCAGGGATTAAACCGATGTCTGTAAGGGACAGGCAGAGACTTGGCTGATAGGGGCTAGGGGTGGCTCCCCCAGACAGTGACCCTGCCCTGCCCGGCTGCCCCTTCTCCTGCTTGCTCACCATCCCTCTTCCCTCCGCTCTTCCTGACGGGCTTCTCTGGGGTTAGCCTCTCAGGCTTTCTCTGCTCCAGTCTCATTACCAATCATCATCAATGCCTATCATTACCCCAAGTCAAACCTCCAGATCCAGATGGGGACGGGAAGCTGGCACAAGGAAAAAGAGGCCCTTCTTCCTTGAGGGAGAGACCGGGTGCGTGTGTGTGTCGGGGGGAGAGACAGACAGAGAGAGGGAGAGATTGACCCGCAGCCAGAGACAGCGAATTGAAGGGAGCCAACCCAATTCTCTCTCCTTCAATTCAACAGGTTTGTGTCCCTGTCTTTCCAGTGGATCAGATCTGTGTCTGGCTAGGTGCCCGGGGAGTCAGGGGATGGCGTGAGGGAGGAGACCTTTCTTCCCATCGCGGCAAAACCACCTGGAGAAATGCTTACACAACAGCAAGAATGAGCCATTCTCTCCTCACCCTCCTTCCCCGCTTCAGAGGGGCTCTGTCCCTTCATCTGTGGGTTTGGAGGTTAACCACCCACACTCACACAGGCAAGAGCTTCCCTGAACACCAGAGTGACAGGACATCAGGACAAAGTACAACTACTGTGCCTTGGGTCTGATCACTACTTGGTGATACAGCTGGCTCCTGGCTACCTTTCACGCTCTTCTCTACCCCCACCCCCACCCTCTCCCCACATCCCCCTCACCTGGAACACCTTCCCCTTCCTCCTTGGCTCCTGCGGAACTGCTTCAGAGCCATAAGCTAAGGCCGGCCCTGGTCCTGAGGCCTCTGAATGGGGCTGAGGATGACCTTGGAGGGGACACAGCATGACCTCTGTCTGGGCCGCTCTCTGCTCCATGCCCCACCCTCCATGTTGCTAGGTGACCTTGGGTCCTTCTGTACCCTTGGGAGTCTTTGGGTGTTCAGTCTGTCCGGATGCTCCCTGCCCTGCAGCAGCCTGTGGAGGGAGGATGGTGGAATCAAGTTTGCTGGTGGGATTAAGTCTGTGGGAGGAGAGGGTGCTAGAGAGACACGATGTGGTCTTATGACGGTTGATTTGTGTTCCTGATTCCATGGGCTTTTTGTCCTCTTTCTGGACGACCCAGGTGTGTTGGGCTCTCAGTTCGATGGTAATGTGGGCAGTGGCTGGGTGTTGTACATCAGGGTAGTGTATTGTTGGGAAAGCTGGTGACACCACACTGGGGGAGAGCATCCAGAGGCAACCCTCCTCGGAGTCACCACTGGCTTGTCTCTGAAATGAGGGGTGGGGGGTGGGGGACCCCTCCCCACCCTAGAGAAGGGTGCTCCAAAGCCCCTCAGGCCAGGATGCAATTCTGCTCCCTCATTCCCTTGGTTCTCTGGGCCAAGTGCACAGAGGGAGCCTCGAATAGGTAGCTGAGACACACCTTACTTAATACCACCAAGGGGGACATTTGGTTCAGGTTGGGGAAAGCCCTGGGGTTATTGTGACAAGTGACAGCCACCCCTCCTTGGAATCCCTCCATTCTCCTCTCAACTTCAGGGTCTTTTACTAAGACCTCCTCTTTTGACCTCTTTAGGGCCAAGGAAGGCTGAGTTGAGGAGGGATGCGGTGGAGGGGGCCAGCATGAGTGCCTGCTCATGTTGCTGGGAGCCTCGGTCCTGACTCTGCCTGCTCCAGGGCAGGGATGAGGGAGGGGGGCTCTGCCAAAGGACCCACATCTTGGGCTCTGGCGGTGCCAGATGTGGAGCAGGTTGGAAGGAGGAAGTTTAATCGCTTCCCTTCCATATCCCATGCAGCACCTTGCAGCGTGGAGCCTAGGTAAGGAGGCTTGCCTGGGAGCCACCCCCCCTCCGCCGAGCCAGCAAATAAACATGTACTAACCCTTGTCCCTGCTGCTGGGGAGCTTGCCAGGCGGTGCAGGCAGGACTGGAGGCATGAATGATGCAAAGGGTAGGATGGGGTGGGGGTGGGCAGCCCCTCTGCTCATAGGGGCCTCAGGACACTACGCCCGTGGAACTGGGCTGCTTAAGAGGTAACCTAGCACCCTCACTAAACCACAGTACCATGTGCCGAGGCAGGGGGTTGGCTGAGTAACCTCCCTGGATCGTTTGGGTCAATTTGGGGGAAGTTGCGGCATTCCCGCTCTCAGCCCAGACACTCACAGAGGCTACATCAGCCCTGGGCCAGGCCCTGCCCAGATCTGGATGAAAAATGAGACTGGTTGGTCCCTCTCTTCCCTCAGGTATCAGAGCCCCCTCTTTGTTCCCTGGGGGAACCAGAGCTGCTGGGTCAAAGCCCAACCAGGAATTTTTCCAGGCTGGTTCCTATAGGCAAGGGTGGGGTGGGGGGGCCTCAGGGAGCACTTAGGGAAGACCAGAGGAGTTGGAGAAAAGGGGGCTTTGAAGGGAGCGGGTGTGGAGTGGGGAGACTGGGGGAAAGAGGAGAGAGGCTCCCAGTTGGTAGAAGTAGGCAAGGGATCCTAGGGGTCTGGGGGTCCTGAGGAGAAACCCCAATTCTGTTCAGAAGATGAGCTGAGAGACTGGGCTGGGGCTGATAGAAGCCTTGGCCCCCAGCCTGGTGGGAGCTCCGGGCAGCTGGCCTACAGACGTTCCTTAGTGTTGGTGAGTAGGTTTGAATCATCACTCAGGCCCTGGCCTCCATCCGCCCCCACCAGCCCCCTGGCCTCAGTTCCCTGGCAACATCTGGGGGGGGGGAGAGCAGGAACAAGGGCTTCTGTCTGCCCAGCTGCCTCTCCCTTTGGGCTCTGCCAGACTCCACAGTGCATACGTGGGCTCCAACAGGTCCTCTTCCCTCTGGGCCACTGACTAACCCCAGAACCACACGGCTTCCCATTTTCAGCCCTACAAACCTGGTGCCAAATAATTTTCCCCAAGGAAGCTTCCCTGGACACTTCCCAAAGGACCCCAGTCACCCCAGTCTGTTGGCTGTAGCTCACTCTGATGTCAGCAGGCCAGATGAAGTCTCCAGATGGGCACATTGTCCACATGGATTTGTCATGCCTCTTGTGCCCAGCATTGGGCTCTCTGCACGTGGGTCCATTCGAGTCCCAAACATGCCACTGTTTGGGAGGTCAGAAATGGGATCAGGGGTAGCCTCCCTCCACCCTCTTCCTGAAGCCCATTCCCTCTTGAGCCAGAGCTGGGGTGTGCAGGCAGTAGTCACTAGGGGGCGCTCGGCCACCACAGGGAAGCTGGGTGAACTTGAAAGAGCAGCGTCTGCGTGAGAGTGAGGACGCGTGTGTGTGAGTGTGTGTGTGTGTGGGGCGGGCTGAGAGTGCTGGAGTGGGGAGAAGGCCAGGGGTCACGCCAGGATTCCAGTAGATTTGTATGTCCTTCTCCCCACACCCGTCCCTGTCCGACTCCCTGCACGCCCAGACCACCCCCTCCCTCCAATATTCCCAGCAAAGAAGGAATAGCTCTCGAGCCCCGGCCGCACATAACCTCACTTTCTTGTACCCTTCCCCCCAATACCGCGCGGGCGTGTGTGTGTCTGGGCAAAGGTGGGGGCGGATGGGCAATTTTCAGGCTGTGAACCTAGGTGGGGGTCGAGGTCCCCCTTCACTGGGGAGGGGGGCAGGCTTTGCTACACGTCCCAGGGGAAGGCCCGAGGGGCGTGCGGGGCAGTTGGAGAGGCGCAGTGGGCCTGTCCCCGCCCCCAGGGCGTGCCAAAGGGCGGGGCCTACCCTATTTTAAGCGGCCGCTAGTGGTAAGGAGCGCAGAGGCTTGGGGCAGCCGGGCTGCGAGGAGGCCGCGGCGCAGGGGGCGAGTGGAACCGGCGGCAGCGGCGCTGGGTCGGGAGGCGCAGAGGCGAGGCGGACGAACCGGCGGGGTCACCAGCCAGGGGTCTCCGCACTGGAATTTGATATTCATTTATCCAGGGTTTACCCTCCTCCTTTTTTTCTTCAGCAATTTTTAAAATCCACATTCTTTCTCGTTTTAATTTATTTTTTGCTTCCCACTCCCCGCTTAAATCGGGCCGACTGTTTGGGGAGATTGCTCCTTTACTTCCCCAAATCACTTCGGATTTTGGAAACCAGCAGAGAGAAGAAAGAGGTAGCAAGAGCTCCAGAGAGAAGTCGAGGAAGAGAGAGAGAGACGGGGTCAGAGAGCGCGCGCGAGCGAGCGAGCAACGACAGGGACAGGGGCAAAGTGAGTGACCTGCTTTTGGGGGTGACCGCCAGAGCGCGGCGCGAGCCCTCCCCCTCGGGATCCCGCATCGGACCAGCAGCGCTGACGGACAGACAGACAGACACCGCCCCCCGCCCCAGCTCCCACCTCCTCCCCGGCCGGCGGCCGAGGGTGGACGCGGCGGCGAGCCGCGGGCAAGAGCCGGAGCCCGCGCCTGGAGGCGGGGTGGAGGGGGTCGGGGCTCGCGGCGTTGCAGTGAAACTTTTCGTCCAACTTCTGGGTTGTTCCCGCTCCGGAGGAGCCGTGGTCCGCGCCGGGGCAGCAGAGCCGAGCGGGACTGGGAGAAGTGCTAGCTCGGGCCGGGAGGAGCCGCAGTCGGAGGAGGGGGAGGAGGAAGAAGAGAAGGAAGAGGAGAGGGGGCCGCGGTGGCGACTCGGCGCTCGGAAGCCGGGCTCATGGACGGGTGAGGCGGCTGTGTGCGCAGACAGTGCTCCAGCCGCGCGCGCGCCCCAGGCCCTGGCCCGGGCCTCCGCTCGGGGAGGAAGAGGAGACCGCCTAGGCGCCGAAGAGAGCGGGCCGCCCCGCAGCCCGAGCCGGAGAGGGAGCGCGAGCCGCGCCGGCTCCGGCCGGGCCTCCGAAACCATGAACTTTCTGCTCTCTTGGGTGCATTGGAGCCTTGCCTTGCTGCTCTACCTCCACCATGCCAAGGTAAGCGGCCGTGCCCACCAGGCGTCGCGGCCGCTGCGAGCGCCTCTCCCGGCTGGGGACGTGCGTGCGAGCGCGCGCGTGGGGGCTCCGTACCCCACGCGGGTCCTTGGGCACCGGGCGCGCGGCTTCCCCCTCGATCCTTGTACATGTAGGGGGAGGGGGCGCGCGCTAGGTGGGAGGGCACCGGGATAGAATCTCACCGCCCACGCGGGCCCTGCCCACCCACCAGAGTCACCGCACGTACGATCTGGGCCGACCAGCGGAGGGCGGGAGCCGGAGGAGGAGGCCGAGGGGGCTGGGCTTGCGCTGCCGCGGGCGGCTGAAGTTTGCTCCTGGCCGCGGGTCCCGGACGAACTGGAAGTCCGGGCAGCGGGGGCGGGAGCCGGAGCCCAGTGGGCAGGGGGGGTGCCCGGACCTTGGACCGAGGGAGGGCAGAGAGCGTGGAGGGGGCAGGGCGCGGGCGAGAGAGAGGGGGCTTGCTGTCACTGCCGCTCGATCTCTTAGGCCCTCGCCACGAGTTTGAGAAAAGTTTCGGGGTGGATTGCCGAGGGGACCCCTGGTCTCCGCCGGGCCACCTGCGCGGAGGCACCCCCGCCCGTCCCCGCTTGCGTCCCGCTCGGTGCCCGCCC